ACAGCAGGAGGGCATAGGTGCTGAAACTTTAAGAAAAGAAACATATGAAAAAAGTATAAAGAGCTTCCTTAAACAGACAGGAAATTCTCAAAGGAGAATTTCTGTCTTTTATGAAAAGAAAAATTAATAGAAAATATATGCTCTCAATTAACATCTTATATTTTACTAATACTTATCTCCACAGAAAAGCTAAGGATGACTGAGGACAACTATTCCTTGACACCTGAATTCATCCTCACAGGATTTACAGATCATCCAGAACTGAAGACCCTGCTGTTTGTGATCTTCTCTGCCATCTATCTGATCACCATGATGGGGAATCTTGGTTTGGTAGCCTTGATTTACAAGGAACATCATCTTCACACACCAATGTACATCTTTCTGGGAAACCTGGCTCTGATGGATGCCTGCTGTTCCTGTGCCATCACTCCCAAGATGTTAGAAAACTTCTTTTCTGAGGACAGAACAATTTCCCTCTATGAATGCATGGTACAATTTTATTTTCTCTGTCTTGCTGAAACTACAGCTGCTTTCTCCTGGCAGCAATGGCCTATGACCGCTATGTGGCCATATGCAGCCCACTGCAGTGCCGCACCATGATGTCCAAGAAACTCTGCATTCAGATGACCACAGGGGCTTACATAGCTGGAATCCTGCATTCCATTATTGGAGTTGGGTTGTTGCTTAGATTAACTTTCTGTGGGCTTCATCAAATCAATCCCTTCTTTTGTGATGTCCTTCTGTTATATAGACTATCTTGTGTTGATCCTTTTATCAATGAATTGATGTTATTCTTCACAGCAGGGTCAATTCAAATCTTTACTGTTACGATTGTCCTGATGTTGTATATCTATATCCTTTTCACTATATTTACAATGAAATCTAAAGAGGAAACATGCAAAGCCTTATATACCTATGCATCCCACTTTGTACTTGTGTCAATACTCTATGGTTCTGGTCTCCTCATGTATGCTCAACCAAGTTCAGTTAATGAAGGGGATAAAAATACATCCATTTCTACTTTTTATACTGTAGTAATTCCTTTATTAAATCCTTTTATTTATACACTAAGAAATCAGGAAGTAATAACTGTTGTGAAAAGATTAATGAAAATAAGAAAATTTTCTTACTTTCAGAAATAAGAATCACGTCTTTTGTGAAAAATGATTGCACCTTGATTTTATCTTTTTTGTAAATGTGCAGGTACAGAGAAAATGAGGAAATGCCACATGACAGTGTATGATGGCATGAGTCAAAACAGTTTTGAAAGGAGAGTTTCTACTATAACATACTTGAGAATCTATGGTAACAGGATTCATCAGAAAGAATTACACTGTCAGAATGTTAATTGGTCCCAATTTTTGACAAATTGAACAAATGCTAGGAATAAAAATTAGTGTAACTAAAACTCATCTTCCTTCCTTTAATATCATTGGCAAATTGCTATCTCAAGCTAACTCAAACCTTCTTAAGACCCTAAGTTCATTTAGTTTGTGCAGGTTATATTTGTATGGTGTGGTACTGCATCTTAGAGATTATAACTAAAAAATGAAAAGAATTAATATAAAAATAATAAATGCATTATATATTAACTAACATAACTATATTAAAACAGTTTGTAGGAGATATTCACCAAATACCTAAATATGATAACCATTGTTTGAGTGTTGATAATATAAAATCAAATGTGAGATGGTTGATAGTGGGACAAGATATGACTGCATTTTACTACCTACCAATTAAAAACTTATATTTTCTTTTAATATATTTTCCATTAGCATGTGCCACTCTCTTTTCTTCAGCTGTGCTTGAGGTGCTATCTTATCACTTCACATGTGAATTCTTGAAGTTTGTCTCATTCTAAGCATGTTCCAATGAGTGAATTATCAGATCAGTTTTCTGAAATACACAATCATGTTATTCTGCTGTCAGGAAGACTCCAGTGTCTGCTACGTCTAAATAAATTTAGATTCCTGAGTGTAGCACTGAAGTTTCCCAGTAGCCTGGTCCACTCACACCTCCCACACTCACCAAGACCTCTGCAACAGTTTGCCATCTTGTTCACCCCATATTTCTCACTCACAATGACACAGTTATTTCCATAAACATTGACTTCAGTCATGTTCATTTCTGTTTTGTTTCAAGTATCAAAAATTTTTTTCTATTTTAAAATCTTGTCACATACCAAGTCCTCAAAAATTAATCTTTTTTTTTTTTTTTTTTTTTTTGAGGATAGTAGGGATAGGATTCAGCCTGCCACTTACTAGGCAAGCGCTCTGCCACTTGAGTTACTCCATTAGCCCTTGTTTTGTTTTGGATTTTTTTGAGATAGGGTCTCCTAAACTATTTGCCCTTTTTGGCTTTGAACCAGAATCCTCCTGATCTCTGCCTCCTAGGTAGCTAAGATTACAGGCATGAGCACTTGTGTCTGGCTTTAAACACATCTTAAGTAACACCATTAATTGAAGGTAAACTGTATGTTTGATTTGACTTGATTTTCAACTGAGTGTATTATACCACATGACTATACAATCAATTAAATTAATTTGATACTCTGTAAGAATTTTTACAAATGCCACAATGCACCTCAAAACACACCACACCTTCTAGTTTCCTCTACAAATACTAATTATTTTTTATAAACTACATTATTTCTACTTCTTTCAGTAAGGGATCAAACCACTCAGAGACTATTTTTTGTCTGCTTTACATAATAATAATATTATTATGTAATAATGAAGTGAATGATAAAAATGATAAAGTTAGCCAAAAAAAATCGACAAGATCATCTTCAAACAGATTTAGTGAAGGTCATTGGCTCTAACCTCATTGTCTCACAGGACATCTTTAATGGATTTCAAGTGGTTTGAGTTTTTTAGGACTAAATGTCTCCACAGAAATACATTGATGTCAGTGCAGGGAATTCCCTTTAGGATTTCTGGGAACACTAACTTTGCAGTGTAAGAGACATAAATACTAACACTGACTTATAGGTAATCTCTGATATTTTCATTCTCAAATACTTTAGGAAACAAAGTACATGGATATTTTAAAATTCTGAGGCCTTCAATATCAAGCAAACCATGTACTTTCAAAAATCTCTTCATAGTGAAATCTAGGTAAAAGTAGTATTCTAGCTTATTTTTACTTTTAATTTTAACAAAGTTATTATTTATTCACTTAATTATTTTCTATTTTCAGGATTCCTAAATTTTAACTCTTATCTTTTAGCTCACAGCATACAAGATTGTTTGCTGTGTGGACATAGGATGAGTTGTCATGATGTAACTCACTTGATTTTCTGATTAAATATAAAATTTCAAAATATACAGGTACAGTAAGAAATACGTTCTGTTAAATAATACAAGTATACACATTGAAAACAGTTTTTAACTTAATTGACTTACTGTCTGGCTTATATTTAATATTTTAGAGTGAACAAGTTTCTACTGTCTTTTTTCTGATGTGTTATAGAAATACAAACCCATTTTGAACATAGAGTTAATATGATTAAACTTCTCAATCAATATGTCCCAAAGGATCACTTAATAATTAAAGGGAAACAATCTTTTAAAACAAAAAATATGAATTTAAAAATATTTTTAGGATTCAACTGTTTTTCTGATTCATAAGTGTTAAATACTGCAGTATAAAGGTCAAGTTGCTTTTCATAGCTTACCAACTAATATGGCATACTTCAGAAAATCTTATATAATTTTCTGAAGAAATAGGAAAATAGTAGAAAGGAGTAAATTTAAACTTTAAAAGATACCTAAATATTTGAAGATGATTATTTTAAAATTTTCCTTATGGCCTTTTATGCAGCATTAACAGTCTCAATGTTCAGATGCAAAGAGGTCACTAATGATCACTTCTAAAATACTGAAAACAAAGTCATCCATTCCAGGTCAATAGCATTGATGTTCTGTTAGAATTAATTCTGCCTTCTTCCACAGAACATATTATTATTTTATGTTTAATATTATCATCATTATTATTTCCTTGTGTGTGTGTATACATGTTACTCTGGGCTGAACCCAGAGTCTTGCTCATGCTACTGAACTACACCTATAGTCGTCCCATAGAATTTTACAGTTCCTTTCATGGAAGTATGTACCACATAACCTCAAATGTTTGCAATATGATAAGGAAATAGTTCAAGCACATGTTTAAAAAAATAAAGCAATGTAAATTTTACAGATGAAATTATAGATTGCCCTGGGTCAGAAGATATGCTCCATAGTTCATAAAATGAGATCAATGAGATCTGGAACATTCAGGTAAAACTTTATCAGGCAACATTGTATATAAACTACATATTACAAAAAGACAGATGATTTACATATTTTTTAAAAAATGGAAATTATGGCAGATTAGTGTTTGGGAAAATGGGTGCAATGCAGGGAAAGGGGATAAGACATGGGACAATCTGTGTGGTTATTTATGTCATAATCTTTCCTGTGTAATTTGCATTCAAGATGAGTAGCCCTGTCCTCAGTCCTTAGCTGTTGTTGTGCAATTTCTAAGATACAAGTTTAACATATCTGTACTATGCTTTATTAAACTATTCACACTTTAGGGAGAGTACAAAAAACTGTTCTCACAGTAGATTAAAAAATGAGAAAAATATTGATTTGAATATTTTAGGATTCTTAAAAAGAGATGCCAAAATTACTTAGGAACATTAAATCACATATGGATACCCTAAATGTGTATGGGGTCCTTGCATAATTACATAAAGTCATCCATTTCCACTTTAAGCATCCTCCCTGAAATGATCAAAATGCCATTGTGAATTCTGATAATAACAGCTCAAGATCAGAGACCCTGACAATTTAAGAAAATATATGCCCCTAAGAAGTTTGGAAATTGTATTTCACAGACATCATGGAATGTTTAAAGAACAAACTTGCTTAACACAAGAAACAATGATGGAAATAATGTATTCTCAATTAAAGTATTGTATCTCTCTGATTCTTGTCTCAACAGGTAAGGTAAGGATGACAGAGGACAACTACTCCCTGACCACTGAATTTGTCCTCATAGGATTTGCAGATCATCCAGACCTGAAAACCCTGCTGTTTGTGGTCTTCTCTGCCATCTATTTGATCACCATGGTGGGGAATCTTGGTTTGGTAGCCTTGATTTACAAGGAACATCATCTTCACACACCAATGTACATCTTTCTGGGAAACCTGGCTCTGATGGATGCCTGCTGTTCCTGTGCCATCACTCCCAAGATGTTAGAAAACTTCTTTTCTGAGGACAGAACAATTTCCCTCTATGAATGCATGGTACAATTTTATTTTCTCTGTCTTGCTGAAACTACAGACTGCTTTCTTCTGGCAGCAATGGCCTATGACCGCTATGTGGCCATATGCATCCCACTGCAGTACCACACCATGATGTCCAAGAAATTCTGCATTCAGATGACCACAGGAGCCTATGTAGCTGGAAACCTGCATCCCCTGATTGAAGTAGGGCTATTATTAAGGTTAACTTTCTGTGGGTCTCATCAAATCAATCACTTTTTCTGTGATGTACTTCCATTATATAGACTCTCCTGTGTTGACCCTTATATTAATGAATTGATATTACTAATCTTGGCAGGATCAATTCAAGTCTTTACAATTACTATAGTCTTGATATCATATTTCTATATCCTTTTCACCATATTCACTATGAAATCTAAAGAGGGAAGAGGTAAAGCCTTATCTACCTGTGCCTCCCACTTTCTCTCTGTGTCAATATTCTATGGATCTCTTCTCTTCATGTATGCTCAACCAAGTTCAGTGAATGAAGGGGATAAAGATATCCCTGTTGCTATTTTTTATACAGTAATAATTCCATTATTAAATCCTTTCATTTATAGTTTAAGAAATAAGGAAGTAATAAATGTTGTGAAAAGATTAATGATGAATAGAAAATTTTGTAACATTCTTAACCAAGTATCATCTCCTTTGGAAAAGTAATTTGAACTTGATAATATATTTTTTCTAAATATACAGGTGCAGAAAAAGTAGAAAAATGCTTCATTATAGTCAAAATATTAAATTTTCAATTATGGTGATATTTGACTCAAATTTGTTTTGATATGACTAGGATCCATTAGGAGTAAAGAATTATTTATTATTTATTAATTAATCACAATTTTCAACATATCCAACAAGTGCTAGGAATTGAAGTCATTGCAGATTATGCCATCACCCATTTAATATCATTGCCACATTTTTTGATCCCACAGAAAAATTTTAAAAATCTCAGACACATTCCATGTTCTCAATTACTAATCTTTTCTGAAGCAAATGACATGTATTAGTTGGATTTTCTGCTTGATTTCAGTTCTGTCAGGAGATTATGTTTGAATATGTATTCATCCAGAATATATATTCTCTAAGAATATTTTATATTGGTTGTTAGTTGTTTTCCTCAAATTCTCTTGAAATGAAGTTTCTGTATTGGTGTTTTCAGTTTGTAGTTTATCATTATGTTCTTCATAATGAAATCCTTGAGAACTTAAATATTTCACATAGTTTGCTTATCTGTCCATCACTTATCACTCTGCAGTTATGGACTATTCCCATTAAAACACATCTGTGGTTTTTTTCTTTGTTGGTATCATTACTTGTTTTGTTGTTCATTAGGAGTAATAAAAACTGCACTGATTCCAATGAAAAGTATTGATATTTTCATAGTGTTAACAAAAGATGGAGATGTTTATACAAAAATGAGGTAGAAAAGAATGAAAATTCTAAATATCAATGTAAAAATATTTATTCACCAAATAAATGTACAAATGTAAAGTAAAAATAATTCATTGAAAATTTGCTAGATTCTAAGCTAGACTTTTCAGACATATTATCTACAATTAATGCTATTTTGTGTTTTTCTTGAATAAAAACCTCATATATTGATACATTGAGTGGCTTACCCAAGATCATCACAGTAAGTCCAACTGATCTGGAGTTTGAATCAGAATGGCTTTTCTTACACTTGCTTGAGGATTCAGAAAATGGAGGTTGTAATGTTTCTGCAATTTAGTTTTTAAATAATATTGGAAGTAAACTGGACACAAAAAGTTGGAAAAGCTGATAGTTGAATCAAAACAGAAATAAGCAGTGGGTGCGCAAAGTAGGAGTGAACAACGTAGCAGAGGGAATAAGATGGCAAACTGTTTCATGGATCTTGATGACTGTGAGAAGTACAGAGCATCATATTACTAAAACCTTAAATACAGTCCTCAGAAATCTGGATTTATTTAGAGGCATCAGACATTGGAATTCTCTTGCAGCAGGGTAATATTTTTTATATTTTAGAAAACTGATCTGGCAATTAATTGATTGAAAAGAACATGGAATGGGACAAACTTCAATAATTCAGATATTAGGTGATTAGAGTAGAACTTGAGAACAGTTAAAGAAAGGAGAGGGGTACACATATATAAAGAAAAAGTAGTAAATTATAATTGGTACATTATAAAAACTAAGTCCTATCTTCCTCCCATATCAGCCATTTCACATCTGATTATATTTTTCTTTTTGGAATCCAATGATTATTTCCTTCAAAGTGCTTTTAATATAATTATGTTAAGTTAACATATAATGTGTTCAATATTTTCACTTTTAAACTATCAAGTATTTTAAATATTACAGTTTTAATCCATACTATGGTAAATAGTGATAGATAATACCTCCATAAACAAAAAATACTTAAGGTCTTAACTATGTTTTAAGATTACAATACATCAAGGGACCAAAACTTGTGAGAAGCTCTAAATCACATGGCTAGTACACACCCTCTATTGACATTTTTATTTGTCTTAACTGCATTCATTGATTATCTTTCATTTTCTAATAATACTGTGATTTTTGTTATTAGTATTGCATCACCCACCCCAAATCTTAGCAGCACTGATTACCAGATATCTTCAGGTAAGAGAGTATATAAATTTTTAGAGGTACTGAAACAATAGTGGTGAATCATTAGGTGATTAATAATTTTGTTTGTTTAGAATTCTGGACTTGAAATGAACCTTTTTGTTGAACTCTTTAAAGCCATCCTTCCATTACATGCTATTAAGCTTTATCACTTTTGAAAAGTTGCATGTTTTTCCTGGACCCCATTCTATTATTGTTTCTCTGAAAACTGTCAGGAGCTTTTCTCAGTCCTATGACTTATTGAATTACAGAAAGAAAATTTTGGGTATATTTTTCATTTATTCTTCTGGTCAGTGGTGGATACTTTCTTACTTTCCTCCATCCCTGCTCAGCACTTTGACCTTTACTTTTCCATTTATTTCACTTTCCTGCCCTTTGTTTTCTTTCTATTCCTTCTCTTCCCTTTTCATTCCTTCCCTTTTCTTCTCTTATTCATCTCCCTTCCATTCCCTTTCACTTTCCTTCTACATTCTCTAAATCCTTCTTTCCTTTACTTCCTCCCTTCTTGCTCTCTTCCCAAATTCCCTCCTTTCCTTTCTTACTTCTCATTAAATATTTAAACTTTTACTTCTTTGGTAAGATAAAACTTTAGAGTACAAAATAAATGCAACTCCCAGAAAAAAATGCAGATCTAATTAGCAATTTGTGGAAAAATTAGTAGTTTTTACTAATATAGAAACATCATTAATGTTTTTAATTATCATTGAAACTCATAGATTTTAGAATATTTTCTCAGCTTAAGAAAGATATAATTATTATCTCTTAACTAGCAGGAACTCAATTCAAGAGCTTCAATTTGTTCCTGAGCATTTTTCATAAAATCCCATCAGTTTCTCACAGATTTCCTTATCGCACTTATGAAATCTACACAACTGTTTTTGCAATTCCTGCTTCAGAATGAAAATTATACATTTTCCCAAGAGGTCCCTTAAGTAATCATTTTGAGTAGATTCCAACCTATATTTTATTTATTTTAATAATACAAACATAAGTAAATTATGCACAAACTATACACATTTCTTATTTCTTCATTTTTTTCTTACTCATAAGGTCATGAGCCTTAATATTTTTTAACTTTACATCATAACCACTTATCTTTCCTTAGCAGTATGTAGTAATGTTTCATTCACTTTTTGTTTTTTATATACTATCTTATAAATTTATTTAGCTTGTCTGTTATAAATAATTATTTGCATTCTTGACAGTATAATATCTGATGCATCCTTATTGATCTCTTTATTTGTAAGCATTTCTAATTGCTATTTTAGCTACATATCTTCTATCAACTATAAAGCTAGATTTTCTTATATAAACAAACTTAAAGATCTTGTAATACATAAGTTAACAAAATTTACAATAATTTCTTAGATATTTTTTCTGGTCTATATCCTACTATTTGATTTGAAATTTAACAACCATATCATGTTATATATACTTATTGTTTATTTAACATGCTCTATTACATACTTTTAAAAATTGTTCAGGAATTTTGGATGGTTTGTTCTTTCACTTTAGTTGCTCTATTTATATCAATATCTTGATTGTACACTCAGTCCCCCTTATCTGCATTTAGGCTGCTATTTTGGGTTTGTCTGCTTTAAATAATATTATTTGACTGGTAGTAATGCTTATTTGAAAGTCATGGCACTTCATCTGCTTCAGCTCTCTCATCTCTGTTGTGTCTTCCTGTTTCTATTGCTTTTTATTAGATTTAGTGTATTTAATGACATTAGCTATTGTGGAGTTACAAAGATAACGGCATTTCATGTACACTTTATCCAAGTAGCCCTAATGTGAATGTCTTACATAATGATGGTCCACATACCAAAATTAAGAAGTCAGCATTGATGCAATATTATTAACTAAACTACAGACTTTATTCTGTATTTCAGCAGTTTCATAATTAATGTAATATTACAATTTCCTGATCCAATTCAATGTACCAATTTGCATTAAGTTGTCCACTCTCCTTAGTATCCTCTAATGTTTGACAGTTTATTGGTCTTTCCTTGTCATTCAGGACCTTGACACTTCAGAAGATGTCTGTCCAGATAGTTTTTATAATATTCTTCAATTTTAATTCATCTGACATTTACTCATGATTACAGTTTTCTTAGGGAATTTAGGGAGGAAGGCTACAGAATTATGGTGTCCTCTCATGGCACATCATGACTTAATACTGGTGATGTTAAGGTTGGTCACTTGACTAAGTTGAGACGTGCTAGGTTTCACTACTGAGAAGTTTGCTATTTTCCCCTTCCCACTGATATTCATTAGAAACAAGGTATTAAGTCTAGATAGCACATGAGGGGAGAGTACTTAAGCACTAACTCATAAAGGAAGCAATATCAAAGGTTTTTTCAAACAATTTTAATATCACACCAGCAATATTAAATCCTTTGGAGACATTATTAGACTATACAAACTATTAGTTTTTTGGAAAATTTGGATGTTATCTTGCCTACATCAATTATTACTGTTGTGTTCAAATGGTGATGGTCCCTGCGCTATGTAATAATTGGTAAGTACCACTTAGTAGGTATAAAATCCTTGCTTCATACTTTTTTTCCTTGAGTTTATTGAAAATATTGCTTCCTGTGTTGCTGTTGAGAAGCCAAGTGCCATACTGATTTCAAATTAGGTTGTCCTTCTACAGGAAGGTGTAGCTAATATTTCTATTCTAAAATCTAATACTTTAAGGAAAATAAACCTGAGATCACTTTTTACAACAGTTATTCATGTTTTTCTCTGATATTGCTTCTACATCTGCTAAGTTAGCATTTCATCTTGTCTACCACTGTTCTAACATATGAATTTTTATACATTTGTGGTATATGGAAATTCTTTTTTCAATATAAAGCCTTCAGCTAATGTGTTGTATTGGAATAACTGTCTCTTTCCTTGTCTATGAAGAATTTTTACTAAGTGAAATGTTTGATTCTCATTTCTATTTTGTTTTATTCATTTTGATGGATATAGTTTATCATGTTCCTGTTTATTTTGAAATGTCTTTTTATCAACCATGATACGAGTTT